AAATTCTTCGCGTGTGTCTGTTTTCACGAAACTTAGCTGCACCACTTTCAAAATGATAGATACACAGTGTAGTCTTGACCTAATCCCAGTGATCTCTATGACGAAATGTCTTAGTACGAAAGGGCTGGTGAAATGAGATGAGTTACCTCAACGACATAGGAGAAAGAGATGAATAGAGAGTGTGGCATTAGTCGAAGGGATTCTCATAGGAAACACAATTTGCAAAGGAATTTACTCAACTTGACTTGAATGAACATGAATGTGTGATTAGCCGAGAAGTGCTCTGCATGAACCACCACTTCCTTCAGAATTCCCAAGTGCACATGGGATCGCTTAGTCTAATCGTGTCAGGAGTGTGTGTTGCTCGACTCAAGTCGTTGCAAATACGAAGAGGCCAATGATAGAATGAAGGAGAGGAGGAAGTAGAAGAACCCGGCATCACAAGTAAAAGAAACTTGCATTATTCAAATTGACTCTTCGTTAGAGCATTATCAAGAACAAAGTAATCTTCCATCCATGTTAAGTGGTTCCTCCTAAGAAGTAAACGGTTTGAATGCTGAGGCAACACAAATTTCAATTAAGGATAGAGATCTGTGGCAAAGTCCAAATAGCGACGGAAAGACAGGTGGGAGAGGGAGAGGGAGGGAGAGATTGAAAGAAGGAGCAAACAGGTGAAGGCGCAGGAGCGTAATATAAGACAGGCTAGAGAGGTTGGAAATGAGCACAGGTGTTTCAGGTCTGGATCTCATATATAAGATCGAATGGAGACGCCTGTACATGTGTAGGGAAATGAGCACAGATGACAAAGGAGGAAAGTCTTGAGGGGTGTTGCAGCATCGTGACAAATTAGAAGGGATGAGGTGTGGAAGGTCTTTGGGGTGATTTAGGAATAATTAACACTCCGAGCATAGCATTGACTGTCAGCTTGGGGGCATAAGCTAAGAGAGGAAAGATTGAGGCGGAGACAAAATGTTAACTAAGACCACTGACACAAGTGGATTGGAAGGCATGGAGAAAACTCCCGAAATTTTGAATATTCAAGATTGTGTTATGAACTGACAGTTAGATGATATGATTTAGTTGTTCTGAGCTGCAAAAGCCAATTAGTTCTGTAAATATAATTTATTTGTGCTTCCATTAAAGTCAAAGCCTTTCTTTAGCGATTACAGGCACGCATTAGAGCAGTAGGATTGGTAATTCAGATTATTAGTCATAAAATCTGATCACTTATCGACCAATATTATTTGATAATTATTTTGTTATTAATAAGCATTGAAATGGAGCATCACATTAAATAATTTATCGTTTTGAAAATTAAATTATTTGGTTATTAATTTAAAGATTTTTTCTTTTTATTGCTAAGAAAAGATGTGGAATCTCATCGATTTTGCTTGATTAGCTGCGAAAAATTCATTTGCTTTTCTACCAATAAGTTGATTACCTAAAAATTTATGATTGCTAATATGTTTATTGTTGCTGGTACTTTTGGATTAAAACAGGTTAAAAACACTCAATATCAAAGTGAATTTAATTAAATATTCTTTCCTGCACATAATATGGTTTATTGACCTAATTGTGCGGGTAACCTTGAGTACTATTGGTTAATTCTTCATCACGGTATGAATTGGCACTCAGGCTTGCAATTGCTTTCGTGCCGTTTTCTTACTTGCTTATAGCTTATTTAATCATTTTTAATCTCATTTCCTTTTTTGCCACTGAATTATTACTCTTTTATTGAACCATTGTTTTTCGCTTTAAAAGTTGATAATATTAATTTGTTCTTATAGACTTTATCGTAGGAAACTGTGTTTCAGATTCGACCGTCACTGTTCTTTGCTGTCTTTTCCTTCTAGTTAATATGTATATGACTAAAATTTATTCTTTTCGAATTTGTTTAACCAGAGGTTTTTCTAGAGTATGCAAACTTACAAATCTCCGAATGAATTGGCATCCAATTCGCATGAAACAGGCCCGACTGATGTAGCTCCAGGTGAAGAAAATTCAGTTTATGGCTACATTAATAGTTCAGTTGGCTCATTTGAACAATTTAAGATCGAAATTGGGAATGTTAACAGACATATCACTGTTAGCGTAAGATTCTAGCTGTTGTTATCGTTCCACTAAGATCAATGCTTTTTATTAACTGTTTTTTCCTCATTCAGGCAATTCGCAAATTCCTTCTAACGCATGGTTTTGATACTTCTAAAGTAAAGCCTTCTGGTCATGGTTTCTTCTTTGTCAATCTCCTGTAATGTGATGTTAAACCTGTTTTCATCCTGCTTCACATTTGTGACTCTATTGTTAAATCTTTTCTACTTGCAGATCTGCGGAGGAAAGAGACAGAGCTATAGAAAAGCTAAATGGAATTTGTTTCAGGGGACGGGAACTTCGAGTAAAGTTGGCGAGACCTAAACCCGATCCCTTGATTTTGAAAAGGTCTCATGGGAATGTCGAACATCAGGGAAGTTCGGCAAAAATATTAAAAACTGATGGTGATCGAACAGATAAGTGAGTTAACGTATTTTGCTCTATTTATTTTATAAGGAAGTAATTCATAACAGATAAAAGTATTCTATGCACTGTCGTTTTCTTTCTCGCTTCTCTTTCTAACATTAGCATTAGCGTCTGCATTGATCTAAGCTTTAAAATGATTGCTAATGCAAAGATAGTTATGCGAATGGCTCCTTTTTTCCAAAAGAAGTTTACAAAACATTCGCATCTAAAAGTTAGTGCTAGTGGTTATCTATGCTTCGTGACTTGATTTCAAATTTGCTTTGTAGGCTAGAGTTACCCTTTTACTCGAATTGAAATTGATTGCATTCAAATGTGCGCGATATTAAATGTTAGAAGACACCTTGCATGATTTTAATGATGTCTTACTAAAATGAATGCTTTTGGGTATAATCCGCGAAGGCACAGGACTAGTGTTTCCTACCGGTAACAGATATGTCTCCCGTATATAGTCACTAACCTTAAAATTTGAGGTGTTTATATTCCAATCACTCCGTGCTACTGATGCTCAAACCCAAATCCGCTCAAAGTTCGAATGCGAAGGGAGGGGGGAGGGAGGGAGAGAATAACTAAACTCGTTGGGGACTGCCACGTATCTTGGCATAGTTTAAAAATGTCAAAAAAATATATTTACGCGCTTATTATTGGCCCAAAATTTGAGAAAAGTATATAATGTAATTTGCAATGCTTCAAGTTATTATTTGTCTTTTCCGTTTACAAACTCAATATATTTTGGCATTGAAATCTCCTACAGTGAATTTTTGCACTTCTCACTGTAGTTCTGCTGACAATAATATTGCTCCCTTTGTCAATATTCCCTACGATCCAGATCAGTTGAAAAGGAAGCAGAACACTGCTCTTTCAAACTTGTTACGTGTCAGAAATAATGTCAAGAAGGTGAACAATTTCAAGTATTGTGAATCCTGTCTTGAATCTGGGTAAGAATATTGGCATTTTTGTTGGAATTCTCAAACAGCTCTCATTTACACATATCCCATCATTGTAGATTTATGTCACAAAACGGACGATTCTTAGGTCAACAGTACTGTCCAATAACACCTTCGGTATGCAGTTGGTGCTTTTCTAACCTCTCAAATTATAAATGATAAGTATTTTATTTTTCCCCCAATAGCCCATTCTAACTGGTTATCGTAACAAGGCCAAATTCACGATTGGGTTTGATTTGGATGGTAAAGGTAAGGATTTATTTTTGTCCCTATTATAGCTCCTATTAATTGTAAGTACCATTATCATTCCGAGCAGCGTTAATCATCGCGTATGTCTTCCATATCAGATATCACGGATTTGATTGCTTTTGAGGTACCCAATGATCGGAGCGGCCAAACTCACTGGTTATATCTGGCTAATATAGAGGATTACCGTGTTATCAAGGAGACGATCCCATGATGCCCCTCTATACCCCATTCGATCGTTAGAAAACGCTTTCTTACACTTTCTTGCGAATGGCAGATGTATTTGCAAAACGTTTTTATCATTTCTCCTATCTACATAATCTAAAGTTGGCCATACACTTTTACTTAAAACAGTAATCACAAAAGATTGGCGGACGAGAAATAATTAACGGCAGGAAATTCAGTCATATTCATGTTTTCTATATCAACTCACTAGGCATGAATATTCCATTGCAACAACACAATCAAAGCAGTTTTTTCTTGTGAGAAAGCTGGAATTTCTGATATTTGCCTCTGGCACTTTCTGTTCTGTAGAAACACCCGAGTGGTGGAGACGTCCTTAGGGGAATGGAAAACTCGTGGAGAAATGAGGTGGAAGTAATTTGAAAGTCCCTACGAGAGAAATGGTGGGAAATGTGGAAACCCGAAGCATGAATCTTGGAAATGAGAAAAGTACCAAAGAAAGTCGTCATGTTGTAAGGATTCCCTTGTCGATGAGTTAGAATCACACATATTTTGCTGCGCTCCATTTGTTCATCAAATAAACTTTTAAAGTTATGATCTCTTATAGTTGTCGCTTAATTAACCACGTTCTCTTATTGTGTACGTCAGATAACATAACAAATCGGTCTTTCTTGAAGTTATTTCATCTACTAGGCTTCTAATTGCAGTCACTTATTTTTGCAGTATTCTCGTACTAATATCGCTTTCAGTATACCTTTAATGGGGGTTCTCTTCGCTTCCAAATTAGTAATTCTTAGGAATTTTCTTTTCTTAAGTTAGCCGACTGTCTTCAAATGGCCGACCATTTCATTCATTCACTTTAAAATCCCGTATTACAATTATGCGTGCTCATGCCTATGTGCTTTCCTTGTAAATTCATCTCAAGTGTCAACTTTCTATTGAATAGGGCCAGTTGTCGGAATGCGGGTAGGTAAATACAAGGATGGTTCAACAGCTGTAGCTTATTCTGCAGATGCACTCCTGTTCTCGGAGTCCACTTCCAAAGTGATTGCCAGTATGCAGGCCTGTTTGAATGCCATCTACAATCAACCCCACGAGGGCGAGAATGCCGACCTGTTGAATCGCATTGCCGAGAGAGTACAAGTATATGACATGGTCGCCAAGACTGGCCATTGGCAATCCATCACTCTTCGTGAATCTCGACTCAATGATCGTCTGGTTGAAATTGAGATTCGTCGTCAGGAGCTTACAGATGTAAGTCTCTTGCAAATATTACTACCTCTTTTTACTTGCTTTAATTTTCTGTTTCCCTCTAAGTACACATTGCCATGCACTTATTTAAGTCGGTCTTTTCGTGTACATTTTGAGGTCAAAGTAGTATAATAACAAGACAATTGAACCATTAAACACAATGGTGACCAGGAGTGTATTATCGGTAGTTCTTTTGTTTTTAATCTCTTTTGCCACTTATGGCTTATCGAGGCGTTGTAACGCTATCAGGTCTTGCTTCTGCCACTACTTTCAACGTGTCCCCTTGATATTGCTATGTCACAGTTGACTTAGTCCCGAGTAGAGATAATATCTAAGTAAAATTACACCAAGACACTTAAGTCCATGAATACTGGGCTTTTGCATATTATTGGTGTAGGAGATCAAAACACCTTCAAGAATAATTATAAAGCCTTGGTGCCTGGCATTAAAGGGAAGATGCGGAGAAGGAAGTTGGGCAAATTGGAAGGAAAAGGTACATATAACAAGGGTAGGAATGTTAATGGAAGAGGTTACAACTAGTCCTGGTTTGACTAGTAAAGGCGTTAAAATGAGGAGGAACTGGAACGCGTCTGCTTCTTCCCTGTGCAGGTCCGAAATCTCGTACGGGGTCTCTTCCTCGACTGTCTAGACTTGGTTGCGATCAGGTCTGCAGTTGAAATGGGCCTGTGATCGCTCCTTCACATCAACTCAAGAGTATGCGGTGATTGTGTTTCTTTTCAATGAAAGTAACCTTAGATTGTCAGCCAACTTGCCTGATTTTTTTCGCCGTTTATTTCTTTCCTCCAATAGGAAGATATTGCGGATTTGTGCTCAGTTTTGAAGCAGTGGTTTGAATCTGGAGGACAAGGAGAGTCAGCAGCTGTTACATCTATCGTTTTGATTTCTCTTAACAGGTGAGCCTTAACAATTTATTTGGTATGCATTTTAACTTTTCTCAAATTAAGTCAGTAGTCATGGCTTGCCTGAGTCGGATTGCCCATACTCCCATGGGGGCAAGAGTTCAATCGTCATTATTTGCCCAGTAGTTTTGCTAAAGGGACTACTTCCGCCAAATCCAATGCTTATTCCAAGTTATTCGTTTCCAGAGCTATTGAAACAATTTCTCGTTATTTTTCGCTCCTTGCATCAAGTGAAACTGTTCCGCTTTTTTGTGTTTAAAATCGTTTGTAATTGCCCATTTTTATTGTTTTCTTATCTTAATCTCGATTTCAGTTATTTGGCCTCGTATTTCTTCTCTATTGACGCGGTTACTTGAAAAATGCACGAGGATATTCTTTTTAATAGAACAAAAAGCTTTATAATTGTAGAATTGCTTTCTCGCTCGACTTATTTAAAAACACTGCTCTGTTGTTTGTTGAAAGTAAAAGCAATTTTACTATTGGACATTTCTCGTTCTTCATATATTTTATTCTTCTTTACAGTGTCTCACAACAGTCTGGCAAATATGGTGAACATTGGGTTTTTGGCAAGAAGGTAAGTAGAATTTCCCCTTTTATAACTCTATTAATCTACCTTACTGTAATGTTGTATTTGCTTTAACAGACAATCACAGAACTATGCTGTGGTCTTAACTTTGAAATCTCAAGGGATGCATTCTTCCAAGGTAGGCTGATTTCATCTTCTATGCTAAGCCTTCCACACAATTTGTTAATATTCAAGCACTCTTTAGTCCATTGTATTTTGCTTGCTTCGTAGTCAACACCCTGGCCGCTGAGAAATTGTTTGAGGACATTCGTGGGCGCTGTAAAGCCATCCTAGAGAGGGAAAATAAATCCACTAGTGATGCTATTCTTCTTGATGTCTGCTGTGGTGCTGGTGTTATTGGTCTCTGCCTTGCGGACGTAAGTACTCAAAACTTTTCATTAATGGTACTGCTGTTACGGTTGTGGTAGGTTTAATCTTACCAAATCGGTTGGGGAGGGGGGGGGGTCATTTTGCTATCTCTCTACTGGAAGTATCATTTTAATTACTGGATAATTTTATCTTAATATCTAATATTCATCCCTAACATTAGATAAGACTGTTCTAGTATGTCTCTAGTACTGAAATATTAACTGTAAAATTTGTGGTCGTTCGAAGACCGATCATCTTACACCTCAAAGTACTTTGTTTCTTTCTTTTCAATTGATCTTCCCGCTTCATGGAATTTGCCAAACGTTTCCGTAGGCATGCTCATATCCTTGAATTTAGTTTGCTGCAATTTTCTAATCATCTGAAACAATGAGCCTCGGATAGCGTTCTTATTTCAGGTCCGGCAAATCCTAGTCCTTTCCTAAAATCATGACAACCAATCTTCTCTCCCCTTTTTATTTTGATATATTGATTATTTTCGGATTCTACTCATTTAGATTGTTATATTGGCTAACACCTAAGGTTGCTACTAATAGCTGACAACTGCCATATATGAAGAAAAGAGTGCGCAAGAATGTACTGAACGTTTGAGATTTAAATTTGGGGGAGGAACGAATGTAACGAAACATGATACAGATCAGGAGCATGAAAGAGGGAACGTTTGCACGAGCCAAGCACTTCCACCACGATTATAAATTCTCCATGTGTGGAATTAAATGAACAAAGAACAGTCACCCCGAGATAGGCGAGAAAATAGGTTAACAGATATCTCATTGTGACACGAAAGAACTGCATATAAACGGTTTGAATTAGCATGTGGTTCAATAAATGATGTTGGGAAGAGTTATGGGATAGGTTTTTGTTATTATTTAACTCTTCTTGTGTATCCATTTCTAGTGTTTTGATCAAGTGGTCGGCATTGAATTAATCCCTTCAGCTGTACAAAACGCGAAAAGAAATGCTGAAATAAATGGTTGGTATCATCTGAACAACTTTTCTGCTTAAAATCTTCCTTTTATCTTTTTTTTCCATTTTTTTATCATTTTTTTTCCTCATTTTCCTCCTTGTAGGCATCAAGAACGCCGAATTCTACGTTGGCAAAGCGGAGGAACTTTTGAAAGATCTCATGAAAGTTCTACCTAAGGATAAGGAGATCATCGCTATATTAGATCCTCCTAGGGCTGGAGTTCGTAAGTCATATTAGGGAGAAAATTTTCAACTCGATGTCTCTTTAGCTAGCCAACTTTGTTGTTCCTTGTAGATCGTGGAGTTATCGAGGCTATCCGTCAGTGCTCAAGGGTCAAAAATCTGATATTCGTGGCCTGTGACCTTAGAGCTTCAGAATGGAACTTTGAAGGGTAAGTAGTACCTAAATTTGACTTGGTGTTGATTGATTGTACTAATATGGATACGAGAAGCTTGCTGAAGTGTTATAATAATGCACATGATTTCTGTTGAAAGTAATCAGACAGCATTCACGAATGCATCGACGAATGTTGACATAGAAGAAAGAATTCACTGAGGAGTTTACTAAAAATAGGAGTTGCCCTTTGTGCCGTTATGCTTGTTGTCAATTTTACATTGCATTTACCAAGTAACTGAAATGTTAACCTATGCAGACCTATTTAATGGTGCTTATATGGAAATGCCCAGGACAATATAGTCATTTTGCCCTTCTACTGTGTTAGCTATTGTAATTTTGTAATTACATCCAGTGTTGAATCTAAAAAGGGACATGGTGTGGCCCTTTTACTTATCCCTATTTTCATCCATGTAATACTGGTCTAATTCATATCGTTTAAGTAGGAATAAGACTTACTTACATAAAGTATCTCATTTAAACTTAGATAAAATGCTTGTATATGGATTTATTTTTTTGTAGACTTGCACGTCCTCCTTCAAAGAAGTATGCGGGTGCACCATTTTTGCCGACAGCTGCTACATGCGTAGATCTCTTCCCTCACACTCCGTCTATTGAGGTTGTAGTTTCTTTAAAGCGCCTTGCTGCTGCGGATTGTAATCATACCACGGAAGTGCATTCTACTGGAGAAGCTACGCTATAGATTGTACAGGTTGATGTGCTTTGTTTTGTATCACATAATGTCTGGCGTATATTTTCAATAAAGATTCACATATGTGCGTACATTTCTTATTAAATTAGGTAAGGCAACGGTACCGCAATGGCAATTCTCCATGTTCAAGTGATGGCAAGCTTCTCGAGTAGCAATTGCGGTGTGAAGCTGTAATAGGCACCTATGACTGTGAGGTACCCAAAGTGGGCATTAATGAATAATTGGCAGAAATAGTGGAAGCAAAATGGAATTGAAATAGTCGGCTCTATATTTATTTTGCGTGATTGTTGCTATGGCATAAACAAAAGAAACGATCCAAAAATTCTGTGGATGATGACTATTAGACGGTCTATTATGCTTAAAAGGAACCTAAACTAGGTTAGATTCACATGATATTCATAAGCCATTTAATATAATGTTTTACATCATCACCAAGGGGTGTGCGATAGACTTACCTCCACGTGGCGCACCCTGGGTAACGTATACTTATACGGCAAAATGTCTATATACTGGCAGTTGACTTTCCACTTCAAACTACCATCACCTCACTCAATGCCATATTCGACTATTTCCACAGTATTCACCTCACCTTTGTTCTACCTTTGTGTTTGTCTATTACATCTTTGAAACGCTCTTCTGTTCCCCCTCTCGACTTTTTTTCAATTTGATGTTCCTTCCCCTCTGTGAAGCCTGAAGTAAACTAAAGGGCTAATGATAACTATCAAGACGCCTGCTAATTGATATAAACAAATAAATACATCATCACCAAAATATTAACTCTTATCTACATAAATAAACAAAAATACATATTTTAAAAGGTGCGTTATTTTATCTACTTGAAGATGTAAAATCTTAATCCATTTTCCAATTAAAATCTGGCCTTTGAATATGCCGATTTAGCCTAATGTACACTTGCATAGTTTGACCTTGGCATTCAAGCCTTCGTGCTGTTGTTTAATGGTTGTAAGCTTGTGCCAATTTAGCTTTTGTGGTTTGTTATATTTATAGTTAAATAATTTTGTGCACAACAACACCGTATTTTTCATGTGGATTTTATATTTGTGAGAAGTTTCACTCGGTTAAAATTGAGGAATGATATTTCAGATTGCTAGGTTATTTTAAGTTTGGCTTTCATACATATATTTTCTTATACTTGTCTTTTAATATTTTTTAAATAATTTTTGACATTTAGATTTGCAGCCTTATTGTGAAATAATATAAAATGAAGCAATTGAGTGATGATTGGTTTGCTATTGGGCAGAGCTATTTCAGGTTTGCCCACTTCTTTTACATTTAATAAATCATCTAGACGCCTGTCCCTTTACAAGCTGGCATTAACACATTCACAAAATTCCAATGATTTTTTTATTTCTGTCAGTGGATGTGGAGGTCTTATTGCATTTCTTCAAAAGCCCAAACAATCATCCAACTCCCTTCTTTTTATTACCACTGCTTCTGGAAAACCTTTTGCTGAGTCTACGGTAAGGTTCGATTGATTTCCTTTCTAAACATTTCAACAGTGGAAAGATGCTCCTCCTGTCGCAATTTCCTGGTCTAATGATGAGGAACTGGTTGTCGTTCAAAAATCTGGTTATGCAACAATCTTGAACCTCAATGGAACATTTAACCGAAGATTCAGTTTTGGAAAAGATGCTGAAAATAGTCAGATCATTGATGCCAAGTTCTTCTCTTATGAAGGAGTATGTTTAAAATCATTCAATTTTCAAATTCTTTTTCAGTTACTAGTTGCTTATTTCAAAAAATTTCTTACTTCCTCTTCTACTGCGTCCCCTTAGATTGTCATAGCCAGTTTTTAAATCTAAGAATCACAACTAAATTAGCACCTATTTACTGGTCTATCTGGTTACTTTCCTCTATCTGGCATATGAATTTGGTAAATTTGCCTTTTGTTCGAGATTTGCTCACTTCTTTACACACAAATAAAATCCTTTAATTTGAATAAGGCCCTAGTTGAATTATGAATTATAAAACGCTATCCTTTTGTATTTGCACAGATTGGCTACTCTGCAACTGTGCCTCAATATGCAATTTGCCATTATCCTCCTGTGGATCATATTAAATGTTTTCTTTGTCCAGCTTTTTGTTATTTAACTCTATCAGGGAAAATCTTACATTTTTGCTTGGAATTTTCGAAATTCGCCAATAAGAGCATTTATTTATGATAGAGCTGTCGTGACTTCATTTACTTGTCACTTACTAAAAATCAAATTTTTCTTGGCATATTCTGGCTAGCTTATAACCACTTAATACATTTTGATTTGTCTAGATTCCATCTACAATCGATGCGTCCTTTATCCTCATCTTATAGACTTTTTATTTCATGGTAAATTTTTTATCCACCTTTCTACTTTCCGCTAGTGTCCATTGTATTTTTAAGTTCTGTGCTTTCGCTTGCTTTGAATTTACTGAAAATTGTTTTTTTTCGGTAGCTTTTTTTCTACCACAAAGCCTTCATTACTACCGATCTTAATGTTGTCTAACAAGAAATTAAAATACGATTTTAATACAGAGTTGCCTTTATGAAGTAGGTTTATAATATTTGGTCTACCACTAAATGTTTACATACAATCGATCAGGATAGAAATCAACCAGTAGTTCATTTATGATTGTCATCATAGGCAGAGTAGGCAGATCGCGATGATCTAAGTTAGTAGGAATTTAGATGATAATAAATATACTTTAAGTGTTAGTCAATGATTCGTCTTGAAGACTAACATGATACAGTAGACTTTCAAACAAGAGGATCACATCCTTCGTTCGTCCATGAACAACCGATCAAAATCGTCAACTGTTTATTAACATCGACAGGAGTAGGGAATCAATCTGTGTTCAATACAAAGAAACTAAGCAAGCCCACCCACTTGGGAGTTTAACGTTTGATTTTACGATAAGAAATTGCATTAACGTTGACCTCTACTTTTTCATTTCTCATTGTAGCGAACAGCCGTCGCTGTGATTACAGGCAATTCTCAGATCTTCATTGCCACCAGTCTCGAGCGCCCACGAATCTTGGCAGTTGCTTCTGAACTGCCCCTGGTAAATCGACCCTTCGTTTGGCATGTGGCTTCCTCTCCAGCTCCCGGTGATTTCGCAACGCTCAAGGGGCCTTGGATCCTCTTAGCTTTCGACAAGCATATTCATCGTTTAGGAGTTGGGAAAGCTACTAAGGTGGGTAGAAATACATTTTACTGCGGAATTATTTTCACTTACCCATATTACCTTTCCTATTAATTTAACCGAGATTTCACTTTAGATAACAACACTAAAGAGTATTCACGTAAAGAGAAGAGGAGATTTGCACAACTAATAATATAGCAGAGGAAGAGATATCGGGCATGTCTAATATTAGGATCTCTTTTAGAGGAATAAATTATTATTTACTTTGCCAATATTAATTCCCCTCCTCCCTCCCGGATATTGATGAATTCTGTTATCTCACATTCATTCCTATCGGATGTACCAATTTTGTAATGACGAAGAACCACCGGCTGTGGGCTTTTATAGAAATATTCCATATTCAAGACTGTTCTATGAGTTTCAGAGAAAACAGATGACCAATTCACGTTATGTTTTCAATACCTTAATTTAGTGTCTGTAGAAGTTGCCGACTCAAAAATCATACCCTAATTACGTCAATTTCTTTAATTCTAGGTCGTTATACAGAATCCAAGTAGTCAGGAAATTCGTTTCTCGAACTATCATAGACTAGCCATCTCTCCTAACGAAGAGATGGTCGCTCTCTACTTAGACTGCAGCGTTTTACGAGTTGCCAGTCTGGTCGAAGGTGGTGGTCTGGATGTCCGAATGGAACTTGACTTGTCAGCAAGAGCGGTTGCACTTGGCGGAGGAAGTAGTGACAATAGCCGAGTCTCAACTCTCCCCTCTGGTCTAATCTGGATCGATAATTCTACTCTCGCTCTACAATGGCGTAATTTTGTGGTTGTGGTCGATATGGAGAAAAACATCTATGAGTTATTCTATCTATCGCTTGTACATATTCAATCAGAGGTATGTCTTTCAATTATATTATCAATTTTTATTGTGTGCGTCAATGGAGGTAAAATTCAGAGTAAATACTTTCAGAGGTATTTTCTATATCGCATTCGCCCAATTTATGGCTGAATACATTTTATTTAATTAAGTGAGGTTGTTCATTAAATATATCACATTTGGTGACACATGTCAACACAAAGCGTCCCTTTAGACGTTATAGATTTGAGGTCAACATTGATTTGTGTTCATAAATGATAATCGAAACTTATTGATGAGAATGGCACTTATCTCACAGTCGATTATACAATGACCCCTTATTCTATTGCATATAGACATGTGAGGTGGTATTTATATTATAAACCTTTCAAATCCTCACTGGTGGTACAACAACTAATGTGCTTATCTGCTAGAGGCCATCTTTAAGACGCTTGTTGCTATATATTCAATGAGTGGAATGGGTAATTACAATGACTAATTAAACGGAAAACAGCTAATTTTATGAGAAGAGTGATAATGAAAAAAGATGACTTCCGTAAAACTCACCCTTTCCTGTTGTGTAAAATCATTCTACCCTCTCGATCCTTGGAGGAAAAAGTTAAACGAAATGGTTCATGCTACCACCATAATCAATATCTATCTGATATTGTGTGTGATAAAATTTGCTCGGCAAAACTGATGGCTATTCAGGAAATGGAAGTATTGGAACGCAAAATAGCCAGTAATTAATTAGTTTGATTGGCGAATCTGAGAAGAGACCACTGAAGAAAGGCTATTTTGGTACTTTGACTTTACTCTTTCTCTTTTCAATACCTTTCCTTTAATTTGGAGATTTATTTATCTTACTGCAGATTACAATAATTATCATAATATGATAAATAATTAAAAGCAATCAACTCATTGATTACAAAATGGTTTTACAAAACAGCTTCAGTCAAAATATGTTTTGTCGGATAAATTTCAGTTATGGACTGAAAATCTCTGTTTTCTTTACTGTATCATTGAGTTATGTTGTTTCAAAATTAGTCAGTTCAATTAATCAGCTCTTTCCATAGTATCAACTGAAGTTGTAAATGCTTCCTTCACTCTTAGCTTTCGCACATTTCCCTTGAAAAAAACTGTCATCAGATCTAGAAAAAAGTTAACGTTTTAATGATGAGACGTAGGGATTGGGGAGAACCAGTTAACAATTTGATTTCCTTCATTTTGACCATTTAAGGACCAATACTCCCCACTGTAATAGTTCTCTAGTGGCCAAGCCCACTTAATCTAGTTAGCTCCTAATGCATCCGTTGACTATCCCGAGCATAGGAACGTAGATAAACCCTTTTCTAGTGAGGAGGTCAAAGGGTCGGGAAGTAGTGAAAGGATGTACGATAGATGGTTGAGGGGGTTATATCATTACTCCTCCTTTGGTTCATTACGATTTTAATATTTATTCAAATGAAATGGCAAGTTTTATGATAGTTATCATTAAGCCTTTAGTTGATTTTGGGCTTCAAAAAAGTCGAGAATGGTATCAGAAGAGTGATGCGCAGATATAACAGAGACGGACACCAAGATAGAGAAAAGGGCAAGGTGGGTACTGAAGAAGTGGTCGAATATGGCTTGCAGTCGAGCCGTGGTAGTCTGAAGTCAACTACTGGTTTATAGACTATTTTGCCGTATGAGTATACGTTGCCCAGCGTGCACCACGTGGAGGTAAGTCTATCGCACATCACCGATTCCATTATAATTGACTATTTAATATCATCAAGTATGCGTGGTTGCGCCAAATTAGTGGTAACTGACTCACTATGATTCCAGGTGATCCATCAAGGATGTTCTCTCTGAAGCTTTCTGAAATTTCTTTAGTAATCATTTTTAATGGTTATTTTTTCACCGTGGGGTGTGCGATAGACTTACCTCCACGTGGTGCACCCTGGGCAACGTATACTCATACGGCAAAAAAGTCTATTAACCGGCAGTTGACTTCTGACTTGAAACTACCCCCACTATGTCATATTCAACCCATTTACAGTACTCATCTTACCTTTTCTCTGCTCTTTTGTCTGTCTCTGTCACATCTGTGAATCATTATTCTGTCCCCCCTCTCGACTTTTTGTCACTGATGTTCCTTCTCCTCTGTGAAGCCTGAAGTCAGCTATATGGCTAATGATAACTTTCAAAACGCCTGCCATTTGAAATAAATAAATTTTTTCACCGTTGTGTGCTGTTTGCAACAGGGAAAAACTTCAGAGATTGAAAGTTCAATGCTCATCGGTTCATATTCAGCTGTGCGAGCTGGTTAACTTTAGTCAGAACGAGACTTTCTTATATGAGCAACCCTATAATATCTTCCCTCTAACTCGACAATGTTTTTTCCAGTTATTAAGATGATTAAACCTCTGACATTAAATTTGACAGCTGTGTGTTTTAGAAGCTATAGTAGTGTGCATTCATTTGCTGTTATTTTACTTGTTATAGGTTGACGGTCTACGTGTTTTGACTCTCTCCACCCACGAGATAATCCAACGTGTTCCCCAAGAGCTCGAATGCCTAGGTCGAATTGGAGCCTCCAATCCAGCTGTGCACCTCTTCTCTGCCTATCGGGAGTGGTTAGCCGGCTCAGGACGTGCTCATGAATTCCTTCGGCCAGTACTCACTTCGCCTAATGGGCCTCGTGAAATGTACGATGCAGTGGTTGCTTGCCTTAGGGCCGCTGCCCATTGTGCACTCACATCGACCGATGTTCAGCAACATCTCCTTGCTGCAGCGCACTTTGCTCGAGGTTTTCTGTCCCTTCTCATTACGTCTCCTTCTGCTAAGAATCTGGACTGTAGTATGATTGACAGCTTGTAAGTTGATAAGCGGCTTAATGGACAAACTTGTCTTCTGTCTTGGTGTACTTTTTTGTGTATGTACTTATTTAAAGCATTATGCTTTATGCTGTTGGGTGAGGCTCTTTTGAACTGCCACAATACCAATAAGTCTGACTTGTGTCGCTATTATTAATTTGCCCACTTGATATCACTAGGCTGCTGCTGTTTCGGGCTCTGAGAGTGGGAAATGAGATGCAATTTCTTTTCTCATAGACACTTTTAATGTAAGAAATACTCCATATGAGTTCTAAGTTTTCATATTATTGACGCTGTAGTTCAATAGGCCACAAGATTGATGTCGATTCCTTTCCGAATAATCATTACGAGGCGCGTGTACCCTCCCAAAATAATAATAATGCTGGCGGTCGAATTGAAGAAAGCCGGTGAGAATAGCTCACCTCGAGACCAGATTCTAAAGCTTCGAGTTTATCTCCCCATCCTATTACTTCTTAGGTTACAAAATGCATTGCATGAAATTCAGTTGTTCTCTACTATCTTTTATTAGAAGAAACTTTACAATCATTTTCGATGTGTGATTAAATTGAAAATGGGGATATCAAAGTAAAAGCCTCTTACTTCAACAGAAGATTATTCATGCATTACTCTCATGCATCATTTTGACCTACGTCAATAGTAAATCGATTTGAAAAAATCTAAATATTGCTTTGAATTCCGCTTTCAGTAATAAATATTTCTACTATTTATCTGAAATTCACATTTCTTAGGGATTTGGTTGAGCCCTTTTATAAAATCTCCCACGTGAGGTTGTCTCGTTTACTTCTGTGGTAATAAGCTAATTTAAACAGGCAACTACCATCTCGTAATACTAGAAAAAAGAGAAGGTAAACTTGGCTATTTTCTTTTTATTCTAATGAGGACATTTTAACTCGGTTTCCTACTGACTTAACTAATCTTTTCGATTTGATTACAAGGGTTTTCTGTTTGGAAGTGAAGAAGAACAATCAATGAAGTGAAAGTCGCTACTCGCACGTGCGCATTATGAATATGGTAGATTGCGCGCAAATTATTTGAAAATGTGCTTTGTGACGTTATTATCTTGCTAAAGCAGAGTCCTAAACACCATTCTCTCTCTCGGAGATTTTGCCTAATCTTCTAACTTCTCTTTATGAAGAGTATGGGAACACTATAAAAGCCTTGGTGTTAGAAATCTCGCTGTGCTCACTAATATATTACCTACAAAGCGTCTATAGGATGCATGCATTTTTCTTAATGGTCATGACAAAAATGCATCGCTTCTCATTTCTGAACAAAGCCTACATTGTGGGTAGCTGTCAGCTAGTGCAAATACCTTCGGTGAATAAGATTCCATTACCCCTCAAGGAGGATGTCTTACAGTGCTTTTTCACTTTGAAAGAAGATGCGTTGGGGATTCTTGCGTTTCGTCGCAGTTGGCTCTAGTGTTTAACATTTTTTGTGCACGCGAAATATTATTATTATTATATCAAATGGCAGACGTTTTGATTGTTATCATTACCCCTTTAGTTGACTTCAGTCTTCATAGAGGGGAAGGAACATAAAAATTCAAGAGGAGAGGGGGGGGGGAACAGAAGAGTGTATCAAAGACAAAGGTAGATAAGGTGGAAAAAAGGTGGGATGAGTACTGTGAAAGTAGTCGAATATGACATACAGTGGGATCATGGTAGTTTGAAGTCAACGGCCAGGTAATAGACTTTTTTGCCATATGAGTATACGTTGCCCAGGATGCACCACGTGGAGGTAAGTCTATCACACACCCCGCACGAGAAATATAATCCCTTATATAATTGAATCCAATCTTAACGTTTGCTTTGGTTGTTTATAACATTTTGGTGCCTTTTTTCTCACTTTGAGTGTAGTAGGGAGAGACAAACATAAGAAATTAATGATAAGAGTATTATAAAATATGTTGCACTTATTTGATATTGCTAAAAACACGTAATGCCCAACTTAGGTGAGTTTTCTAAAATCAGTTTCCTTAAAGTCAATTCGCCCCTTTATAGATCAGAACTGACAATCCAGGTAACGACCATCCTGCGTCTACTGAACAGCCTTACAGTCGAATGGGTGGGAATGGCTCTCACATGGAAACAGTTTGAATCTCTCGGACCTTCTGCCCTACTTGATCGATTGCTGGCTAGAAAACACTATCCTCTAGCTGTGGAGCTGGTCCACACCTATCAGAAGCTACCTTCAAAAATTCCAGAGCACATTCAGGTATGCGCAAATAAAGAATAGATTTTATGTTACTATTCTGCAATAAAATTGATACAGGGATGATGGGGTTTAGACCTGTGGAATTCACTGAGCTCCATGATTCATCTGTTTACTTGCATTTTCTTTTTCTTTAGCATTCGAGGTTTATATTTGCAAATGCGTGTTCTTCATGTTAACTTAAGCCTTTTAATTCATTTTGATGGAGGGATCAGTGTTTTCATTGTGTTAGGAAATCATTCAAATGTGTTTTAACAAAGGACTAATTTGCAATAACACGAAGCATTACGCAATTCAAACTTGTATCTCTTTATCGACATCTCTCTTTCTCTTCTCGATCCTTTGGCAATAATAAATTCATTTGCAGGCCCTAAGCATTGAATCTTCTACATCTTTTCCTGATGATTTGTGGTTCAATTCACTTTTCCTCCACTGTCTTTGCATGTGCGCAATTGAATACCCGACTTCATCTCGTTTCTCTATAGAAGACATAATCAAATCTCCTGAGCTACTTAATTGCAAGACTTTCAATTCTCGAATAAAGCAGAATCTGAATGGACGTAGTCTTCCACGGCACCTATAAATCCCGCTACTCAAAATAACGCGTAAATGCCTTTGTGTGGTGGGCTATACTTCACAATGAATGGGAGTTGACCTTGCCATTCTTGAATGCACCATGACGTAATGACGTGGAAGAGATGCTGATGACGTGTAATAACATTTTCGGTACACACCAGAGTACTCCTTCCCCTTATATCGCATTCTTTATTATTATTATTTATTATTTAAAATGGATCTGTTTAGTTTCTAGTGTCTTCTTTCATTTCCTAATGAATGCTCCCGCTTTCTCGGATATATCATTTTTACACTACCCCTGATAGAGAATAACAATGCTTTCTCAACATTTAACTGTCGCAAAAGATCGTCACACAAAAATAGGGTTGGCAGTACCTTGTTTATAAGGTGGCTTGAAACGAAGCAGTAAAAGTGAGAATCAGGGGGAATTTGACTTCGTCTGCGTTTTAGAGTCATCGGGTTGTCTGCTTTCTTAAATTTAAGTTAAATTTTCGTCAGGAGAAAAATTTGAATTCCATGTTTCTTTCAAATACACCTTTAAAGCTTATCGGTTTCTAATCTGCCTTTGGTGATCAACCCACCAATGCCATTTCATCTCACTTTTATTCGCATTACCAATAATTTTGTGGCTCCACGCATTTCTATGCTTTTTTTGACTATGAAATCGGAAATGTCATCTCTAAGCAAGTGCAATTTCTTTATATTGTTTTTTTAGTAGAATGGCATATTTGGCACCTTCAGTGCTCTTAAGCGTATTCGTTTTCTGAATAAACTGGCATAGTGAACCATTTATGAATGTTGATGCTTGTGAGGCCTATAATTCTTTGATTTTGTATATCTTCGCTTCAAATTTAGCTCTTTATATATGTTGCGAACACTTTTGGGTTCTCCCCATTAGTTGTAATTGATGAATAGAACTGTTCTCCGGATGTATTATTGAAAAGTCTTGCTTTATAGGTTCGCACAAGCGGCATGACCCGAATTCTCTGCCACTGGGTGAAAAGTCTTCCTCTGGCTCAGTCTACCTCTCCCAGTGATGCAGTCAATTTGGGCATTATTCGACGTCTTTCTGCCATCATCGATCGATGTGGAGTCAGTCCAGGTGCGGAATCTGGAGTCTCCTTTGCCACTGTTGCCGAAACCGCCATATCTTGTGGACAAAGGGTTTTGGCTGATCGTTTGATCGAATTAGAACCCCGTGTAGCCTCACAAATCGCCCTCTTAATGCGTTTACAACGTTATGAACAGGCCCTCTCTCGGGCTGTTCAGTCTGGAGATATGGATCTCATGTTGTCAGGTGTCCTGAAGCCTCTTTTGGAAGGAGTTGATTCTCGTTTAGAGCCTACAGCTTTGAGTATGCTACTGAGGAAGCATCCGATTGCTCTTGCACTCTATCGGCAGTATCTTGAGGGAAATATGAATTCAAGTGGATCTGGAACGCTCCCTAAAGGTAAACTTGCCTCGCAGACGCTTGCTGTTTTACAACAGGAGGTTGATCCATCATTGGCTATTCAGAGAACCGTGAGGGAGGCTTTCGCTTCAAAAGTATATTGATCTATTCTGCTCAAAATTAGTTGTATTTTTATGCCTATGATAAAGCTTTTAATATTTTTAGGAACCGGCTCAAAAGTCTGATTTATTGATAAAGGCGACAGATGCTTATCGTCAGATGAAATCGGAGTTTCTTGCACAGGTATTTCATATCTAAGCAGTTTCTGTTGCTTTAATTAGCTAATTGTAACTAAGGGTGTCTACGTTTTATAGTTTGTAGAGAAGGAGATGCATACTAGTAAGCTTACATCCTTGATTATTTACGTGATATTTATTTATAGCAAATGGCAGGCGTTTTGATGACTATCATAGGGTGGGGGAGGAACAGAAGAGTGTTTCAAAAATNCTAAGGGTGTCTACGTTTTATAGTTTGTAGAGAAGGAGATGCATACTAGTAAGCTTACATCCTTGATTATTTACGTGATATTTATTTATAGCAAATGGCAGGCGTTTTGATGACTATCATTAGCCCTTTAGTTGACTTCAGGCTTCACAGAGGGGAGGGAACATCAAAGTTAAAAAAAGTCGAGACGGGGTGGGGGGGGGGAACAGAAGAGTGTTTCAAAGGCGAAGGTAGAAAAAAGATGAGGTGAGTACTGTGAAAGTAGTCCAATATGAAATACAGTGAGGTGCTGGTAGTTTGAAGTGAGAAGTCAACTGCCGAATAATAGACTTTTTTGCCGTATGAGTATACATTCCTAGGGGTGCACCACGTGGAGGTAAGTCTATCGCAAACCCCTTATTTACGTGACATAATATCTTGTTTACTTTGAAGGTGCCATGAATCCTGCAAGCCATTATTTGTTGTGGTAGAGCTAGATTGCTTAGCAACCTTTACAGTCTAAACTATTATTTCAAAGCTTACAGTTAATATCCAGTAATGTTCTATCACTTTAATTCACTTTTACCTGAATTGAAAAAAACCTAGAACTTTGTACGTTTGCAGTAAAGATGGATAGCGTTTATCTCGTGTGCAACTACAATTTATTATTACAATCGATGAGCTTTATTCCAAAACACTTCAAACACATCGAAATAGTATTCAAACAAAGGCATCAATTGTACTGGCATACTTGGTCTTAATTTCGAAATCAGCAGTTATCTCCACCTACTATTTAAACAAGAAATTTTCGTGAACTATTTTTTTGCGCTTTGTAATTCATTACGGTTTGTCTACCTTGTTAAGGCAATTAGAAATTGGTGGGGGTCGACTTGAAGAAACCCCACAATATTTGCTCAAAAGCAAAGTAAGGGCTAATTCCCTCTTTTGCTGATGAGTTCATCACTTTAACTAATACTAAAAGTGGCCTTTCACACATTGCTGGGCGTTGTGATGCTATTTGCCTCCTCTTCAAAGTGGTTTTGAGTTTTTTTTAAGTCGTAGCGTTTTCTAATAATAAACATTTCTTGCAGTTTGTGAATTCTAAATCTTGGACAGAGATCTAGCTGTAGCTACCTTTCAGTCGTTCCTCTCCTATTCTCCTAACGAGCCAGCATTTTAGATATGGATTTTACATCATTGCTTAGCTTTTATTACTTTTACTTTATTAAATGTTTTTGTTTCATCGGCAGTCCTTTCATTGCTAGTATGACTTCATTCTAGGAGATAGGGAAGTATGTGTGTATTGCTTTGTCAAATGGCTATAACCTCAGATAGCAGTCTTTTATTACCTCCTCTTTAATCGTCATTCCTTCTCTCGTAGATTTGTGAAGAATCTGCAAAGTTAGTCAATTTCCATCGTCGACTTGAGGAACAACAAGTCACAGCACCCTATTTTCGCCTTGATGAACGATCGCCTGGCTCTCAAGTCCTGCCTAAGTTGATCGAGGCAGCTGCTTTTCGATGGCAAGGAACTCCCGTTAACACCACTTACACACGTCTAGTAGCTGCCGGAACCCCCGCTACCGATCGATTAGCCGACAATGTTCGACGCGAATTCAAAATACCCGAAACACGAGTTGCTTATCTCCGTCTCATTGGTCTTGCGTTATCTCCTAACAAATCTTCAGCATGGACTGAGATTGAACGGATGGCTTTCGCGAAGAGACCTGCTGTTCCTCTTGATGTAAATTTATTTTCTACTTAAATTATATAAGTAGACTGTTAAAATCAAATTCACTTTTGTAGGTGATCGTGAGGGTCTTTGTTGACTCTGGGCGTCAGCAACAAGCTGCGGATATAATTGCGAAGCTTCCTCTGGAACAAAAGGTTAAATCTCTCATTTTGATTGGGTAAGGAAACATAGCGTCTTTTCACTGCTCTCATTAATATTTCACTATGATTGTTTTATTAGTCAAGGTGATTTGATTAGTCAGCATGGTTTGTGGTTTGCTTTCTTCATCACATTTTTCGGCGGTGAATTTGCTAAAGAAAGAAGATGATACTTGAATAAGTTCTGTCAAATTCACCGATCGTCTTGTACACCCTCAATAAGCCTATAATTGGGGTTTTCAAATTCTTTCACACTGACTGCAATATGCTGTAGAAGTTTGGTTTAAATTGCGATTATTTCTTTTCACTATCGCTTTGCTAATTCATCCGTAACTGAAATTTTCACTTACCCATTATTTGACCCATATATATTTTTTGTCTTACTGGTCAGGATATAGAAGGTGGGTTCAAAGTAGTTTCAATGTGAATTGGAATTTAAGGAATTGGAACGTTGAGAAATTTTCATGCTTTTAATACAATGAGCTCTTGTGTTATGTGTGTTGTCATTTCCTTCTGCCAAAAAATCTGAAATTCCCCCTAAAGCACAAATTCAAGCAAAACTTGATCGATGACTGACTGGACTCACGAAGCAGTGAGTAGTCTTTGCCAAGTGTTTGCCTTAATGACTTGGTCAATTTCGTTTTGACTTCCCTAGTACTTTCTTGAGCAAACTCTAAGATAAGCCTTTTAGTACCCCTCTGGGAGGGTTCCTCAGACATTGCTGTTACCATTGATGCAATCTTGACTGCCTCAGGAATATTGCGCCCACTCTCGGCTGAGTTCTCAATCTGTTCTCGATTACTCACATCCAGAAGGAGAAGGTGGAGCAAACTTGGCCAGTAGCTCACACGATGATCTCTTTTCATTCTGAAAATAAAGTTAATCAAATAGGTTCGATTCCATCTGAGATTATTGGCTGCTTCGATTAGTCAATAAGTACATCAGTGGCAAGAGCGTTGAAAACCTACTATCGGTAATTCGTTGTACTAAAAATGAACCTTACATGCTGTGTCCGAGTGCACCGAATCAGTTTCATCGCAAGTGTATTAACCTAAGGCACAATCGATCAACAGGGGAATTGAAAATCTTTATTATCACACGACCGTAGTAAAGCAGTCTTAAATGTATCATTGAAACTTCCGTAATTAGCTATTATGACAATGGAAAAATACAATTTCTATTCATGGGTAAGTTTGCTGAATTAATGGAACTGACAAAGAGTCCGATAGAGGACACGAATCGGATTAGGGGTAGATAATGAATCCAGACCATCATTGTCTTTGCTTTATTTGAATTCGAGAATATTGAGTTGATCAAATCCTTATAATGAGAAGAGTGCACTCTGCTGACGCTGTTGACATATGTACCTACTTATCGCCAAGATCAATTAGATGAGACGAGAGTAATATAATTAATCACAGCAGTTCTCTCGACGTGAACTTTAATTAAACAATAAGTGGTAATTAATTTTCCCTCTTTCCCACAGACGAAAGGAGGAGGCAATTACTCTGGCTGTTCAGGAACGCTCGGAACCATTGCTCTATCTCATTCAACGTCTCCTAATTAAAACTGACCGACCCACGGCGGACAGAGTTGCAAATCTCCGAACTCAAATCTCATCTCTCTCTTCATGACTACCGTAATGTGTACCCACTTTTTTGCTGATTTATGACCAATTATTTCTTCCTTTCAATATTTTGAATAACTATTCTCCTATTACTTATGCCTCTTCTATGGTTATCCATAAAATTGCAGTTATTTTTGGACATTAGTGATGGTGTTCGCATTTAACGGAAAATTAATTCCATGTACTGATAATTGCCATGCCTTACTGGTAGTGGTATTTTTAGGCCATCGATGTTTGGATAACTATTTGCCTTTCTCCCACTGTTGCGTTGACGGCATGCAATCCACTATTTGAATAGTCATAATATTTTCCTGTTTTTTTTCGCGAGCAATTTAACTGAACTCCACGGCATTATCTCAGATATTTAATCGATAGAGAAAGTTTTATGTATATTTCACAAAACGTTGACTAGGCTTAATTAACGAGGGGACTATATTCTACGCCATAAAAATTGTAAAGTACTTCTTGAGGTTATTTGTGTAATAATTGCTGCAAATTCATACATACAATAATAGCCAGTACTTATCGAGGATCTATTAGCTTTGACTGGAAAATGTATCGGAGGCGTAACAGACAACGTGAGCTGTTGGCATCAAGTCAGAGATAAGTAGATGGTGGATAACTTTTTATGACAATGGCTCCATATATAAGTGTTGGCAACACCTCTTCAAAGCACTTCTTTGAAATGCGTAAAATTTGCTGACATATGCGATATCCAAAACTTAATCCTACGGGGGGGGCCTACAGTCCCATTGACACGCGATAAGGTATAGGGAGATAAGAGGGCAAACTCCAGGAGTTTCTACTAGAAAATAAACCCAATTTATCTGTTAGAAGATTGCTAAAGGTGGTAGGTAAGTGAATGGATGATGGTTGCGAGATCTCACGAAACATAATCTAGATTTTCCATTTTCCATTAAGTTGCAAATTAAGAGAACAACACCAATCTTCAAACTGCTTAGTTGCGCTTCCCCGTGATAAAATGTTGTGACATCATTGCCTTACGTCTTTTGAGGCAATTTAATAATAACTTTCGATTTTTTTTCCAATATCGGCAACTTGAAAAGACTCGATTCACGTGTTGAGGATAAATCTCACAATTTTGGAATGTCAGTGCTCTTTATAATGCATGTTTGTAGACTGCAATTAGTTTTTTACGTTGTAAAACGAACATGGTTACAATTGAGTGTCCCTTAAACGACTCTCTCCAAACGCCGTTTCAGTTAGCTGTAGGCATTTCATAAACCATCATGCAGGCGGTCCCCTTTCACGATTGGTTTACTAATTAAAGTCGCACTTTCGATGACTCTTGTTTGTTTAGGCATTTGAACTTAGTAGTTTCACCTTCTCTCATTTTTGATGTCTTTCATGCCCTTTTGCATTAAGTTTCAGTGCGGTCAGTTTATTAGTGGTTTGTGTAGCGCAGTATGCGAGGTTATCTCCCGGTCGCTTATAGCATTGGGTTTATTTGCTTTACTTAGTAATCGGTGCAAATGCACAAAGCTTCCAATCTTCATCCCACTTACACTATTCTTATTCAACTGTTCATTGCTTGAACTATCGCTTCCTTTTGGTTGTGAATAATTGCAATCCCATGCAGCAACAGTGAACATTCCATAGCATTTTGGTGCAGTAACCTAGTAGTAAATTACATGCGTACTATTTGTTTGTTTATTTATGTCAAACGGCAAGCTTTATTGTGTTTATCATTAGCCATTTAGTTAACTTTGGGTCTCACAGTGGGAAGAGGAACATCAAAGTCTCAAAAAGTTGAGAGGGGGGGGGGGGTTAAAGAGTGATTCACTGTTGTAAAGGAGACAGACAGGCAAAAGTAGATAAAGAGGTAAGTTGAGGGTGCACCACGTGGAGGTAAGTAAAACCTGTACCCCCGCATGCTTTACATCAATTTTTGAATAAACAGTGGCATATTTTGTTATATCTTGTTCGGTTCTAAGAACAGCTTCAATGACATTTGGAGGGAATTATTACTAATACCAAATACTGGAGTGTGTAGAATAGATTAGTTTCATATTCTTTTGGAAATTACCAGAAAATTTCCCATAAGATTAATCAGCAGAGTTTAATTTTCAAATTCGCCTTTGTTTTTGTTTAGAGTTGGATATTTAGACATTAGCCGATGCTTAACCTAAGGATTATTTATGGACACTGTGTTGTTTTTAAATCGACTATTTCGTTTCGTTTATTTACGTATACTCGTCTCCTCCCTCCCCCCCCCCCCCCCCCCCCCTCCTCCTCACAAACCCTGGAGATAAAATGTTGTGAAGCCTCCTTTGTCCTACAAAGTTCCTTTTAAAGAACACAAGTAGTAGTTCTGTGGGACCATTTATAGTCACACACACACAATTGTTATCTGAATTAGTACAAACTATGTTTGAAAAGGGCATCCCGGTCCTCGTATCCTTATTACTGATTGACACTTTTTATTGCTTAAATCTATTCAATAAAATTAAACTTATCAATGCAGAGTTGCTGTTTCTTTTCCTCAATTTAAGCGCCAAATTGTCGCACATTTTGTGCGATGTTTCATGTTTTTTTGGGAATGGAAACACAAAGGGATGTATGTAAATAAAATTCAAGTTAATTTGTATCGATTTGGGTGCTGTCCTGGTTTAATTCATGCTAAATTAGATTTAGCCCTCTAATTGTTGGATAATTCCAAACAAATACTATTTCAAGTAGCCTATTCAAAAGCTTGGAAATTTCCTTGTGCAGAACGTTTGGATAAATCTTGGGAAGGATTGAGCATGAATAAGACAGAAGCCAATATCGATTCCAATCTCTTAAGTTACAAATCCCCACCCCAAAAGAATTTATGTTAGATTTATGAGAACGTTTCTTAGTGTCGTCGAGATCACTGTTTCTCGTAGGTAACAATCAAAAGCACTATTATTACTATATTTCAGAGTGCCTTATATAAGAGTTACATCGGATTCGCAACAAATCTTTGCATAAGATCTTTCGACAGAAAAACTTGAGAAGTGAGAATCTTACGGTCCAAATTTCTTTGTTATGTTTCTATCAGCCACTGTGATTTTCTCCTCAGTACCGGAGGCTCATTTAAAATGAAAATTTGAATCCTCTTCTTCAGTCGGGGGGTCGAGTAGCTAACGAGAGAAAACTTCGAACTTCTTCTTCTACCAACTTATTCTACATCTTCATGAAAATTAAAATCACTACTTGTTTTAATGGCAAAATTTTTGGAAGCTCTATAACTATTCGTTATCTTTGTGAAATACCGCAAGTACGTTGGTTAATTATGATCGTGCAAATACGCACGCACGCACGCATGCACACACACGCACGCTCAGACAACGTCATTCCACAAACAATACAAACCAAAATGTGCACGGCCTGTACATATATATCACTTTTCATATATTAGCGCATATCTCAGCGGTCCTCGTGTACTTGTCTTTTTGGCTTTTGTTCGCGAATTTGTGGTACAGCGTCCACGAATTTAAAAGCCACATGTTCGGTACTCATTGGCGCACGCTGTCAGTCTGACCAATAATGAGGACAGGTGAAGTTAATCTTTACAACGGATTGACTCTACGATGGTACCAATAATTCCAAAACGGGTGTAGAAAAGTGCCTCCATCAAGTGAAAGATTAGTTACGTTAGTAAAAGAGAAGCACAATTCTTTAGTCTTCATGTTTAAGAGACGCATATCCTACCACTCACTATTGAACTAGTTTTAACTAATACGGTTGATAGATTTACGACGATGTGTTGTGAACTAGTGAATCTTGATTTTACAAAAAAATTCACTCTAACCTGTTCCAGTAATACTTTTTCCGGCACTCCATTTGTCGAGTTCTGTTCTGTTCATTGGCTGGCTGTGTACCGATGGGTGTGTTAAATCCATGGCCTTTACTAACGAGTGCTTTAACAGCTCTGCCAGTAGTGCTTCAAGAATGCAATGGTTCAGGCGGATAATTCAATTTCTTAATTTGGTCAACTAATGATGTCAGCTGATCCTGCTGATATATATATACACACAACTTTGTTACTCGCCCCCACGTACACTGTTAGAAACACTTTATTTAATTCCACAGTGTTAAATTTTTGTGAAACTAATCGATAGCTCTATTTGTGGTCTGAGTAGCCTTTGTAGATTCCGAATTAAAGGATATCAAATTAACTTCTCAAAATTAGGTATTATTATCGATTTCTCGAACTCGGTCGTTTTTTGACAAGTAAATGTGCAAGCGGAAATTATGTCTTAATGCTATCCATGGGTTCACTTTTCCTTTGCCCTAAAAATCAATAATGACTTCTATTGGTCAGTGAGTGCATAATTAACACCTTATAAATAGTTTATCAATAAGAGCTCCAAGGAACTTCCTCTGAAATTTGAACTTTTGAATATGAGAACAAGTCGTGGCGAATTATAAATAAATCTGTTGTGGTAGGGCTCCTACTGCCATATAGTGTATTATTAAGAGATATGGGATGTCTGGAGAGTTGAAAGTAACTTATTTTAATCATGACGAGTTAAGAGTGTTTAGGCGGGATCGACCTTAAGCTGACCTTTATTGGTCATCGGTCACTCAAAATAACAAGAATAGATGTTAATTCGGGTCAACTAAATACGTATTGCAAGGGTGATCTAAAGGGGCGCGTAGTTACAACAATTAGCTATTCCTAGAACATCTGGCAGATTATGTCAGGGCCGAACACCCTAGCTTGTATTTCTTGTTAAAAGTCTTGATTAGACCTTTTAACAGCCTTTTATTAAAATCAACTTCTAAGGCATCAGCGACCATGCCACATAGAAAGCAATGGTTCTCGTCCGATCACGATCATCGAAGTTAAACTACGTCGGGCCGGGTTAGTACTTGCATGGGGTGACCGTCTGGGAATACCCGGTATTGGTGAGTTCTTTGGGGTGTGCGATAGACTTACCTCCACGTGGTGCATCCTGGGCAACGTGTACTCATACGGCAAAAAAGTCAATTAACTGGCAGTTGACCTCTGACTTCAAA